GCGCGATCTGTCAGACAGTTCGTTTACGGCAGCTGTTGAAACCAGTTCACCTCAGTAGTGCGTTGCGAAAAAAACAATGGAAAAAAATATTGGACAAAGAGTTTGCATCAAATTTTGTGTTTCGAACGAAATTTCGTGTGCAGAATCGTTGCGAATGCTACAAAAGGCTTATGGGGAATCAGTTTTATCGAAAACTCAAGTTTATGAGTGGTACAAAGCCTTTCAGGACGGTCGTACGACCGTCGAAGACATTTCGCAACGCACTACTGAGGGGAACTGGTTTCAACAGCTGCCGTAAACGAACTGTCTGACAGATCGCGCTCATTTTTGGCATAGTAATTAAGGACAGTGCTGCCAAACTACATAAACTTAAAATATCGAAAAATATACAGCGCGCGAATTTTAAATGAGAATTTCCGAAAACTTTTCAGTCTTAATGTATGTATTGGATTAGATAGTTTGATGAGATTCTATAAAGATAATTTGGAACTGTGTTCAAAACGCTTGTCCACCAACCTGTTGCTATTAACCTACCAATGATGTTGCAAGCAATGTTTTTAATGTAGAAATTAATGGGAAGATATTGTGAATCACATTGAGTTCAGCTGAGTCCATACGAAGTACTAAACTGAAAGTTCTGTGGCCATATTTAATAATATTATTAGTTCCAGCTAACATCAAGAACGAAGTTCAGCCGTTTAAAACTGCTAAGTGTAAAGAATTTTTGTCGACTTTTTGGAAGAGTCAAACAAAAACAGAGAAGTTGTTTCAAAGTGCCTTCAAGTATTCTACACTGCTGGTCGAATAATCTATAGCTTATGCTCATGTGTTGTAGCCTGACAGTGCACTATTAACAGCGGAATATCGTTCCGTAGTTAAGGAATGGTTATACTAAGTTGACATTATTAGAAGCCATTATATTAATTTAATTAAAAGTTATGCTCGATATATAATTACAAAACATTAATGAGTTTAATTTTGACTTTCGATTCACACGAAAAATGGACGCGCATGCCATTCTTAAAGACCCTTACCACACTCAGCTGTAAGATAGCTGAAAAATATTTCCTTGATAGTTCGTAGGAACACGCTTTCTTTTATGTATCAGTGATAACATAAAGTAAGTAAAAAAAGTGTTTGATATACTTGCTTTCCGTTGAGATATTGCAGTCAAAGTTACTTCGCGTGCTGCATCCAACAGCGTCGATAGATTCGTTGTCTTCTCCACATCGAAGAAGCATTTTATTGGCATAAATGCAACATGTTCATGTTAACATTTCGTTCGTGATTAAACATGAAACATGATGTATGGGGGCTACGTATGAGAATTCCTATCTTGAATTCGTAAAAATAAAAACTTAGATATTAAAAAACAGTAACAGACTTAGAACCTCGCATGTGACTTAAAAAGCACAACAGAACGTGTTCGGCATTAAATTGGCTTTAAGTAATTCTTTCATAATTCCTTGGAAAAATAGTACCCATCGCAAAACAATTAAAATGAAAATAAGAAGAAGGAAAAAACCTTACACTTGTAGTCACATGAGTACATGAAAAGCATATCACGTATTTAATTTTTCTTGCTTCTCCTTTTCTTGCCAAAGAAGCGATCGATCTTATCGAGTAGCAAGTTCGAGCTGAGGGCGGTCTTCGAGTTTGAAAATCAAACACTTTTTACTTGTAACCTTTGTGTATATGGCATTTAATAAACGTTTTCATAAGTCACTAATAATGCCTTAAAAGCACTTTAATTTTTTATTTTATTAAAGTTTGAATCAAATTTTTCAATTGCATTCAACGAAAAATGTATCAAATGGACATAGATAAGACATAGCCATACTCGCTGCAATGTCAAGAGAAATGATAATAAGTGCATAAGTATATACAATTCCCAATTCAATCTTAACCTCCAATTTTTTTTATAATAATTATTTTATTAAATATTTTTATAAATATGCTTCTTCACATTCTGTGGTTGGTAAGCGTTTTTGTTTTATTAACAGTTGTTCTCTTATTCTCAAGTTAATACCATGAAGGATAGTGTATCAACTCATATATTCATATTTAAGTATTTGAACCGAACCACTGATCTCGAATTAATTGCAAAAATGTTACTCGCAGAATTTGCCTCCTAAACATTAACAGAAGATGCTATTTAACAGAGTGCAGTGTACATAACAGTAACAGTAGCAGTTACTGTTTGCTTAGTAATGCAGAAATGTTACTGCGTTTATGACTTTTATAGTTAAATCTGATCAATATTTTATTTTTATATAATTATGACATGGTTTACTTAAAATTAATAAATTTTTATTATCGCCCATAACACAAACAAATGCCTCACATGTCATATCAAACGACTGTAAAAACTCTATAATATACTAAATAAATATTTATAGTGTTTCAGTGGCTTTCTTTTCTTCACATTAAGTTCATTCAACTTTAAAACGTGTGTGCATATATATCAAAATACGACAATGTCCTGCTGTTATAAATGTATATCCTACTAAGCGTACTGTGCATATATCAACACAAATCGACCAAATGTGGCTTTAATTGCTGAAAGCGCTAAATTCAGCAGCAAAGCCTGCGGTGTCATTAATTGGGACCACGAAACGACAGTGGAACCTGGTCCATAAAAATTATGAAATTTAATTGCATTCCTGTTTGAAATATTACAATTTGTCTGCTTATATGCGTTTAAAAACAGGATCTGTTATAAGCCAATAAAATCAATTACGCCTGCATTAGAATTTATGTTATTTGAATTAGTGAATTTCATTTCCCTCACGTCACAAGTACAGGCGGAGTGTAGAATTCAACGATTGTAAGTTCAGAGATCAAATTTACTACAAAATTGTATATAAGATTTTAATTAAATTGAGTTCATTAAACATTTTCAATTCACTTGCTGCTCTCATACAAAACTCATACAAATGACGTTTCTTTTAGCAATTAAACCGACAACGCAACTCAAGCAACATTTGCTTGAGTGTTGTTTTGATTTTCCGAAACTTGAACTATTTACTTCATTCGTACTTGGAATGGTTCAGATTACCCAGAGCACACGTTTAAACATTAGCGATCCCCCTTCTCTGGTTGTAAGCATTGATAGCCGCCACTAAGTCTGCTGTTTAGCAACATTTCTTAATATTTGTTTTTTTGTAATGTTGTGGAATGTTGACAAATGTTATCAGATCTCTGGCGGAAACAAGTGAAACTGGATCTGGAATGCAATTAAATGTTGCCTTAACAGTTGCATTAGTTGATTATTGTTACAAGTGACACAAAAGTATAAAAGTATTTATGAAATTTTATTCACTTTTATTTGCAATTATTCTGGAATGAAAGTCTACAACTTACCTTACAATTATTATCAAATTTTAAATAAATCGGTGGAATATAATATATTTTTCCATTAAAATTTTGCACAACTAAAATTTAATTAAGCAACAAAAACTTTTTGTTATTTTGCCATGTTGAAGACACATTTTATGTTGCTCACGTTTATTTGTTGTCATGTTGCCAGTTGACAAGAGCATAAGCCCACACATGCGGACTTGTTACTTTGATTGATGTCCCAATTTTTTTTGGATTCAACGAATGTCTACAAAAAATGAAAAACATTTTTGGTATAGA